GTTCACTTGATTGTTTTGATTTTACTTGCAAAAATTCGTTAATTGCACCCTCCGCCCTTTCAATTGCCTGTAATGTTTCAGATTCAAAATTTTCTGCTTCTGTGTTCGTTGTTGCATTACTGTCATGTTTACCAATTTGCATATAAGCATGACTGAGCTCATCCATAACACTCATGCTTTGCTCTAGCAACTCCCATAAACCTTCAATTTGCCCTTCTATTGATTGAATGTCAAGCTCACCTTTTTTTGCACATAATCTTTCCAAACTGTGTCGGACTTTAGTCACTGCTGTTTTTTTTGACCTCTTGTTACGTTTCAGTTCGAGAATTCTTTCATAACTTTCATGCTTATCATCCTTTGCACTGGCTGAACTTCCACTTGTCTCGACCGTCTTTTCCTGTCCTTGAATTTCCTCATTGTCACTCATTTTTCCCGATTTTTACGACGATAAAATAGGCAAAATACAACGTTCGAATTAACTCCAGCTAAATTACCAATAATTCCAAATGGAAAACCTGTCAGAGTCCGATACTATAACTGTTAAACGATTTAACATAAGTCCACAAAACCACGCACGACTCAATCACGTTTTTCGATCGATAAATTTCCTTTCGAATTTGCCATATGTCCTGGCAGGATCGCCATAAATGTAGCCACGATATTGGTAGAACTCGTTAAGTTTTCAATAAAATGTATTTAAAATAATGGTTTACAAAAAAATAGTAAGAAAATATAATATTAACTGTTCTTTTCGAAATAATCACCCGATCAAAATCCTCGATAAAACAACAACAAAGTAAATTCCCCAGAACCCGGTCAAACCGGTTTTTCACGAGGACAGTTCCGCGCGTGACGACGGCCACGCGAATCTCTCGCACTATTCTAGCGCCTTCTGAACATCTACCAACCACTTCCTTTCCAAAAGGTCACTGGCCTCACTTGTCCTCTCTCAAGTTAGCAGATCCCGCATTCAATGTATCGAAACCAATTGATATTCTTCTTGGCGTAAGTGCTTATCACGACATCTTGAAACAAGGGTAAGCTTATTCTTGGACCCAAAGGAACGCCGTCAGCTCAACAAACCCTTTTTGGTTGGGTCTTGTTTGGCAATGTCAATGGTAATCGTTCAACAACAGAATCAGTCACAACTCTCCATGTATCTACTGCTTATCCTAGTTGCGAAGAAACTCTGAAGAAATTTTGGACATTGGAGGAGCCACCTAAACCTAAAGTACCTGTGTCACTCACTGACAAATTAGCATTAGAACATTACAATCAACACCTCAAGCATGAAGAAAATGGTCGCTTTATTGTTAACCTCCCTTTCAAACCACAGAAATCAACCTTGGGGGAATCACAACCTCTCGCCTTACGTCGTTTCTTGTCTCTTGAACGTCGTCTTCGTCGTTCCCAACAGTTTGAAGATTACGCAAATGTTGTGAATGAGTATATTTCCTCTGGTCATGCTGAAAGAGTTCTCGATAATGATCTCAACAAACTCTCTTCGAATACCTTTTACTTGGCCCACCATGCTGTTTACAAAGATTCGGCAACAACTCCTCTACGTGTTGTCTTCGATGGTTCAATGAAAACCACTTCTGGTGTCTCTCTTAATGATCAGCTTCTTGTAGGACCAACTGTATATTCCCCACTCAACGATGTTCTCATTCGTTTCCGAAGACATCCATATGTCCTTACCACTGATGTTTCCAAAATGTATCGAGCAGTTGGCTTAGCTATTGAGGATAGAGATTACCATCGGTTTCTGTGGAGAGAAAATCCTAATGATCCAGTCCATGATTATCGAATGACACGAGTCACGTTTGGAATTGCAAGTGCGGCATTTCTTGCAACAAATTCGGTGTTTCGCCTCGCTGAAGACAACGAAGCAAAGTTCCCGCTCACTGCCAAAGTCGTAAGGGAATCTTTTTACGTGGACGATGGTTTACCTTCTGTACAAACCAAGCAAGAAGCAATCTTGTTACAACGACAGCTCCAAGATCTCTTTGCCACAGGCGGTTTCAAACTTCATAAATGGGACTTTAACTCTACTGAAGTGTTGAACTCTATTCCGCCAGAAATTCGAAGCAGCCAAACTACATCTAAGTTTGGAGATTCAGACAACTTCGTTAAGACACTTGGCATAGAATACAACTCAAATCAAGATTGTTTTCAATTTTCTACAGCTGAGCTCTCCGTTGATCAGTCCCACCTTACCAAACGCAACGTATTATCTGATTCTTCAAAGATCTTCGACCCACTTGGTCTTATCTCGTGTGTCACGATTGTTGTGAAAATCATTTTCCAACAGCTATGGAAACAAAGCATCGATTGGGATGAGCCATTGCCACCGGACATGCAGAGACACTTTATGAACTGGAGAGAAAGTTTGTTTGAACTGTTCAACTTAAGAATCCCTCGCTGCTATACGCCAACACATTTCCAGATTGTTGATCAACAGCTTATTGGTTTTTCTGACGCCAGTGAAAAGGCTTATTGTGGTACTGTTTATTTGAGAAGTACTAACACAACAGGTGAAGTTCACATATCTCTTGTCATGGCTAAAACACGCGTTGCACCAATCAAGAAAGTTTCACTACCTCGTCTCGAACTTTGCGGAGCTCTTTTACTTGCGCAGATGATGAGACATCTTCAAGAAATCCTTTCTATTCCATTGTTGAATTTACATGCCTTCACAGACAGCTCAATCGTTCTTTACTGGATCTATGGCACTAGCCAGCGGTTTAAAACTTTTGAAGCTAATTGAATTGCAAAGATACAAGATTTGATACCACCTCAAAGATGGAAGCACGTTGATGGTTTACAAAATCCAGCGGACGTCGGACCTCGTGATATATTAGCAAAGGAAATTAAAGAACACCCCCTCTGGTGGACTGGTCCAGATTGGCTTAAGCAAAATCAGTCGAATTGGCCATCGAAATTTACTGCACCTCCTTCACTGAAAGCTCTCCAATCGCTGGGTGTCACGAAAGACTGCTTACAACTAAAAGAGAAAGAAGAAGTTACTCTGCAAACAACGACAGATACAGCCTCGACCGAGACTCGATATTCCAGTTACATTCAACTCGTGAGAGTTACTGCCTGGGTATTTCGCGTGGTCACCCGTTCAAACCTATTCAGTTCTATACCACTACACAGCCAGAAAACTCACAGGCCTGTCGCAAGCTGTTGATTTTACCGGCTTGCGGCAAGTTGTCAACAAGTCAATTTACAATTTACAATTTATTCAAAAAAACCGATCTTGCAGCCAAGGAGCTGAATTACAACGGTTACATTTTACAAAAGAAAGGTTTAAGTTAATTATACTATCCATTACTGCTTAAAAATACTAAACATAATAAGATAATTGTAACTTTAAGTTAATGGGACTGTCTATTCCAATTAATTATATTATCTATTAATGTATTTAAGAATATATAATTACAGTTAAAACTAACAGTTATTTCCGAAATATATAGGTCTGTTGGTTTCGTCAGGCGGTAACAGGCTTGCGGGAACAGGTCTGTCGCAAGCTGTTGACAACAGAGCCGTAGCGACTTGTTGAAACAACCCGCTACAAACCTGTTACTAACAAGAGATAACAGGTCTGATAGAACAACTTGCAACAAGTCTGTTGAAATCAACAGGTCTGTTCCAACTTGTTCCAACAGACCTGTCGCGAGTTGTTTTTGTCAAGTCTGCAGCAAGCTTGTTATCAGACCTGCGACAGACCTGTCCACAACAAACAATTTTTGTCCTGTCACAACAAGTTTCAACAAGCCTGTTGTTGGGAAACAAATCGAAAATGTGAGTAAAGACTGTGGTAAAGAGAAAAATCGCACGAAATGCATGACATGTCCGGCTTCACTTTCTCATTCAAGGCAATATTAAATCACATGCAGAGGAGATGAGGCTATGTGCACACGGTAACGTTTTCGAGCGTTTTCACGCTAAAACGGATGCAAACACTATCAATTTACAACAGAAGCTGTAGTTTATTTAATATATGGGAGATATATTTTCCTTTGGATCGTGTGAACAGGGCGTCAAAACGATTGAAGAAAAAAAAGGTTTTGAAAACGCTGGAAAACGACGCCCGTGTGAACATAACCTAAGTATCTACTCTGTGATTAAATGCAAAAGCCGCTGTTTTTAACTTTTTATATTTTTTCATAGGCTGCCCAAAAGTGCGTGTTGAAATTTTTACCCTCGCGCGTGGCGCTCGGGCATTCATCGAGTCTACTCAGTTTATTAGACAGATTTAGATCGAGGACGCGGACGTCAAAGACGACTTGAAAATGGCGTGTTATGCCCAGGGCCGCCCAGAGGTTGGCGGGGGCCCGGGGCAAATTTTTTTTAGGGGGCCCTATCTAACAAAAAATTTTCCGGAAAAATTTTTTCCAGATATTCTGGCGACTCGGCGCCAAAAAAATTTCGGTCAGTGTACCATTTTAGGGGTAAAAAAAATTTTTCCGACGCAAAATTTTGCCGGACGAGTACGTTGCAAACGCTTTCGAGGGACTTTATCTCATTTTTTTAGGCCAAAATTCGGTACTTAGCCCAAGAAAACAGATATCTTGTCCTTTGCGCGGAAATATTTAACACACAAAAAAGGCGGGGCCCCTACAAAAATTTTTCAGGGGCCCCCAGCAACTCGGGGCCCGGGGCAAATTGCCCCCTTTGCCCCCCCCCCCTCTGGGCGGCACTGGTTATGCCCATGTATGCATATGCCACGCCATTTTGACGCCATTTTCACGTCGTCTTTGACGTCCGCGTCCTCGATCTAAATCTGTCTATTATTATGACACGCGCGAGGGTAAAAATTTCAACACGCACTTTTGGGCAGCCTACGATTTTTTAAAAATAGTTCCGATTTCCAAAATCCAAATTCCAATTTGCTGACGTGTGCTATAGTTATATTTCTTTAATCTGATTGGATAAAGGCGTGCGCACACGTCATCATTCCTCGTTGCAATTGGACGAAATATTACAAACATATCAATCACGTAATCATGTTTAGTTGTTTTTGAATTTTGAGCCAAACAAAATTTCAACAACTGCCTCAAACAAAATCAAACAAGTTCAAAGCTGTTTTGATCACAGGGGGTCCAACTAAGAGCTGTGTTATGAATATGAATAAAACATTAATTAAGTAATATGAATAAAACATCATAACGTAATATATTTAAATTATTGCACTTACTTGTATAAATCATAAGAGCTTGTATTTGCAGTGAATAGCTTTTAACAGGGCGCTTATACACGCTTAGAAAATCGCTCAGAAACACTTGATTCGAACGATTGTTCAAATATGGCGAATAAATTGACAAAACGAAAATATTACATGACGTTCCAACGAAAATAACAGCAAGGATTGCGGGCGCGAGCGGAAGGCGAGGGTAATAGATATTAATAGAAGGGATGAAA